GAATGGACCTTCTCTCTCCCCCCCCCCCCCCGTCCTCTGATAGGCTCCATGGGCTGGGAGATACCAAGTCACTAAAGCAGGGAGGGTTGGGAAATACCAAGAGCACAAGAATGGAAGGTGTGTTTGTACCACGTGGTATTCCCGGGGGTGTGGGGGGGGGATTATTATTGTAGGGTCCATTGCTGTTCCTGAGGAATTGTTATTGTAGGGTCTCTTCTCACTGGTGGCATGGCGGGGGAGGGACAGGATGTGTGAGGCTAGGTTGGCGCTGGCTGGGAGGGGCTGTTGTAGGGTTTGGCTCGCTGCCGGTCTGTGGGTGGGGGCATTATTTACCGCAGGGTGGGTCGTCCCGGGCCTGGGGGGGCACTAGCCTGGGGTCGCGCTCGAGGGGTTAGCAGGGATCTGTTATGGTAGGGTTCCCACCCTCGGCTTGTTGTAGGGTTGCTCCTGGGTTTGTTTATTGTAGGGTCTCCCAACCTGGCTAACCACCTCCCTTCTCTTCCGGCAGCCCATGGCGCATCGTGGACGACTGCGGCGGTGCCTTCACCATGGGGATGATCGGTGGGGGGGTCTTCCAGGCCGTCAAGGGCTTCCGGAACGCCCCCATGGTGAGTCCAGCCCCTGACACCCCTCCCTCGCCAGCTGGACCCAGGCCCCAGATCCTGTTGGTCTGATTCCCGTCTTGCTGATGGCGCTGGGCCCTCCTGGCTGGGGTGGCTCCCCGATCGCTACAGGGAGAAGGGGGCCGTGTGGCATCTCACCCCAACTCTTCCTCTGCTGCTCTTCCTCCTAGGGCGTCCGACACCGGTTCAAAGGGAGCGTCAGTGCCATCCGCATCAGAGCGCCGCAGATCGGAGGTGAGGGGGGCTGTGTAGTGTGCGGGAGGAGGCGGGCAGTGTGGGGAGCATGGGCCTGGGGGGAGGGGGCCAAGGTGTATCTAATCGCTGCTCCCTCCTTTCCCCAGGTAGCTTTGCCGTCTGGGGGGGCCTTTTCTCCACCATCGACTGCGGCCTGGTGAAGATGAGGGGGAAGGAAGATCCCTGGAACTCGATCACCAGTGGGGCCCTCACAGGGGCCGTGCTCGCCTCCCGCAGTGAGTGTCCTGCGCAGCACCCCCTGCTGGCCCCCCGCCTCCTCGCACCCCCTGCCAGGCGCTCCATCTCTTTAATTCATCTCTTCTTCTCCCCAGGTGGCCCGTTAGCCATGGTCGGCTCAGCCATGATGGGGGGCATTTTACTGGCCTTGATAGAAGGAGTCGGGATCTTACTCACCAGATACACAGCACAGCAATTCCAGAACTGTAAGCAGTGCCCGGGGCTTGGCTGGCAGGGGCTGCGGGTCGGGAGTGAGGGGCACCAGCAGAGATTGGGGGGAGCCTGGGGCTGTGGGTCGGGAGGGAGGAGCGCTGGGGGGGAGGGGGGCAGGGCTGGGCTAACAGGGCTGCAGGTCGGGAGTGAGGAGCGCTGTGGGGGAGGGGGCAGGGCTGAGCTAGCAGGGGGCTGCAGGTCGGGAGTGAGGAGCGCTGGGGGGGAGGGGGGGCAGGGCTGGGCTGGGCTAGCAGGGGGCTGCGGGATCATTTCTACACTGGTCAGGCTGTCCCCATGCGGCGTTGTGGGGCTGTTGCCCAGCTGCCCTGCCCAGAGGTGGCTGCATCTCTGCCTTCTCACTAGTAATTTTCTCTTTCCTCCTCTCCCGCCCCCGCCCCAGCTAACCCGTTCGGTGAAGACCCCAGTCAGCTGCCCCTGAAGGACAGCCCCACGCCTCCAGGATACCCGGGCTACGGACAATATCAATGAAGCTCCTTTGTACGTGGGGGGTCCCCTCTATTTTTTGGGGGGGGGAAGGGCAGCTGCAGCTAATAATTCGCCCCTCCCCCTTGCCGGTGCTCAAGATGTGATTCCAGCCACTGGTCCCTCCAGTTCTTGGATTCTCCCCCTCGAGGTGATGCTGAATAGGCCTTTTTCCCTCTCTGTGGAGGAGGGAGGGGTTTGCTGGGAGCCCCTCTAA